CTCTCACAGCCATAATAAAAATTCTGGGAAACCTCTGGCTAGAGAGCAGGCTTCTCAGGAGGGGAGCGAAAGTCAGAAAAAAACTTCATTCAGAACGAAAACACTAACAAAATTTTTTTAACATGCTCCAGATTTTTCTAACTCAGTGACACCAACTGTGCCTTTTGCAATTATTTTTTTTTTTTCTACCCTTCTGTTTATTCCTTTCAGAAGATGTTTATTTGCTGGAGAGTTTGCATACCAGCCAAATGGACAACCTGGCCATTTCAAAGTATGTTCATGTTTATACCATACTTTCTTTTTTAACCCAGCAAAGGTAGGATTGGTGTTACACAGACTAACTTAACATTATACCACATGAAATTTGTTTGCTAAAAGAGTAAAACTTCTAAAGCATGTTGTCCTCTGCTGATATACACAATTTTATTTATATTCCAGGGTATAAGAAAAAACACAAAAAACTTTAAATGAAGCAGCAAACAGAAAAAAACATGCAGATGTAATTTAAAGCAAAGTAAGTGTAATTTGATTTAGCACCTCTGGCTCCCAACTTCTTGCTCTCTCTTCATGTCTACATAGTTCACATATGTTCAATATTTCTAAAGAACAGGGGAATGTAGTGAATACTGCTCAAGCGAGGGGAAAACAAGGAGAGAACGAGAAAAAAAAAAAAATAAAATTCCAGCACATCCTGCTGCATCAACAGGGAACAAAGTCCCAGATGGTGTACACTGGTAAGTACTGTACAAGTCAATGAAGCTATGTCAACCGATACCACTCAACTGCATTATCTTTTGAGCTCCACGTAAACAAACAGGAGCAGATTCTGAATATTTGTGAGAATACATCATGTTACTGTCCCCATATGTTTAAACATTTTAGTAGAAGGTACATATGGACCACTCTTCCCACTCACTGTCATTCTCTCCCTCCTGTTCCTCATTCCCCACATACACCGTAACTTTTCAGGCCACTGTCAAACCAATTCAAAAAGGAATAAGGAAACATTTTCATTAAAAACATTTTGTGCTTAGCTGCCATCTGCTTCTCTATCAGCCTCCAAATCCTCACATGCCTTTTCCGTGGTCTTCAGTTTCACACATTCAGAAGATGAAAGTTTTCTTCTGTCGTATTGTGAAGCACAGTCTACGTGAGCTATTGTTTTTAATGTCAAATTCGCCTCTTTTGAAACAAGTGCTTAATGCTTATGGCCCTAATCCATGTTCTCTCTACAATGTCAATTCAAACCTACTTTTTTTTTTATGCCAGCGGCAAATCTAATCTTAAAGGTCCCTCATGCACTTCAGATACTCACCTTCATTGCTCTGATGGGGAAGCACGGCTATTTCATCCCCTTTGTGCAGCACTGTAATTTGCTCTCTCATAAAGAGAGGACCCAGACTTCCAGACTGTGCTGTTGTCCTCTCACAAAGAAGCTGCAGTGGAAGCCATTACGTCTTCATATTGGGTACTAATAGTCTATCCACCCCATAATCAGATCCCTAGTCTCTCTTTTATCTGAGCAGGAAAGGAGGGGTTTCAGCTAATACTTGACAGAGAGCATCTCCAACTTAACTGGGGGCTGGATGGAGAACAGACGAATAAGATAAAAAGAAAGAAAAAAACACCCATACACCATAGACCTTATATATGGATCACTGTTAGTTTTGATACGACTTTCCCACATAAACAGGTTGCCTAGTTAATTTTTTAGTGCTCCAGCAAATGCAAAAGTGTCTCAGGAAGAGTTAGCTGGACTTGTTCAAAAAATAACACAAAGGTTATGGCAGACAAGAGATCCTAAACTTCCAGGCAGGCTTTCAAGGTTGTAATTTACACTTGGTTTCTGCAGGCTTACAAAGGCCTATTAATTAAGGCAGCAGACCTCAAAACTTAGTCATCAGCAAGAGGAATATAGAAAACAACACAAGTTTTCTTTACAGTAGAACAAAGGACAGGCAAAGCAAGTGTGCCATCACAGACTAGTCCTTCAAGGGGTACACAGCAGGCACAGTTTTTCTGGTTCTCGTATCAATTGCTGAGCAAGATGCAGGCAGCTCCCATAAATGTTTCCAGCAGTCACAACTAGCAGAAGAAAAAAACCCAAAAGGCCATAATCTTATTTGTATGTCTGGACACTCAGCTTTTATCTTTTCTATCTCTACCTGTGCCCCAAAGCACAACCACTGATGCAAACAACTTCAGTTCTCTCCTTTTATGTTAAGGAACTCTTCTGTGTGGACCTGCAACCCAAATGAAGTACAGTTGGCATTTGATATGCCAAAAGAAAAGTAGGTGCAACTCAGAAAGGCATGCCAAACCCAATACAGCATGCCGCAGCTCCGAAGCAAGCAAACTAGTAAGGCTAGTGCCTTGAGGCACTTGAAGGTAAAGGAATGTATACTACACAGAAACCAGGGCAGCAAAACTGGCAGAGAAGCTGCTGACACTCTACGCTGAACCTCAAAAAAATAAAATTTTTTGAAAGTTACAGATTCTTTGTAGCTTGTTCTGCTATAGAAATGTCAATGGATTATTGTAAGTCAAACACAGCATATCCTTCCCTCTCTCCCCCCTCCACCCTCAACATTGTTCCTGCACAAGTTATATTGAAGGAAGCATGGGGTTCTTCCTTTGTTTGTGAGCAAGAAAAAGAAGGACAAAAACAACTTCCACTCAACGGCAAAACTAAACAGAAGCCAGGCCACTTAAAGTACTAAGTGTTCCCACACAACATTTATCCACCAACTTCAGATCTTTCAGCGTAAAACCTAAACAAGGACAAAAGAGATTTAATACACACTCCTCCACAGATCCAAGGTGAAGAAAAATAAAAAGGCATAAAGGAACCCTGAGTGATAGACAGTATTTTCAGTTTAACATTACTGTGACGCACAAGGAGAACGTCAGGGTTAAGTTAGATACTACACTAGAAAAATATTCCCTAGAAGATAACATAGGTCTCCTATCTCTACTGGTAGGAAAACGCAGACTGTAACTTAAAAGTCCTTGCTCCTATTGTTTTTTGTGTCTTCTTTAACTTTGTACTGCATAAGTCCTCTCCAGATCAGGAGATCATTGCCAGAACGTCCAAGCAATCTAGCAGGAGAGACAAAAAACTTCCTTTTGAACAACTGCACATTTTTACCTCTCTTGTTTTTCTTCAGATCAGGAGTACTTTTGGGTTCGGTCTTTTTTTTTTAAATGAACGGCTGGCAAATTTAATGTCTTCTTCCTCAAAGTCAGTGGCTTATCATGACAAACAGATTACATAGGTCCAACTTTCTCATTCTTTTTATTGATTAGAACTTGATCATATCTTTATACAGTCTGCATCCTAAGATACTCTAAACCTATGGGTTTTTTCCACACTGTAATGCTCTTAACAAGCCTTCCAAGGCTCTTTTCCAGTATTTGCTTTCTTTTTCACAATCTCTCATAAAAGGAAGATGAAAGCTTATAGGGAAATAAAAACATTATCTACACCCTTGCCTTGAAAGTGCTGCCACAACAGTGTAACTATGACCTCATTTTATTTAAACAGATCTCTTCTCGTGTGCATTTGGGATACAAATTATTATAACACTCCCCTAGAAGTCAACAAGCTTTCCTTGCACCTTACTTTTGTCTACTACAAACAGCCAGAGCATACAACAAGCAGGTAAGCTGTTACATCTCATTAAATACAGTCTAGTTATATCAATTCAAATCACTAAAGGCAATGAGTTTGCACAGGAATCACCTATGTCACTCTCTGTAGACAACAGAGTTACACTCTTTTAATGAAGATTTAATTTCGGCCTGCAGAATCCTAATGAGTCATAGCAACACATGGCAAGAAAGCAATGCAGCTCACTTCCTTCACCTTGAACAAATCACAGTCTCCCAGAAACAGGCTGAGAGGTTTTCTTCATTTAAAAAACAAACTTTCTTTCCTGTTAAGTAGTAGTAATAAAAGCATAGCCCTACAAATGCCTTTTGTCAGAGATAATTTTGGCATGTGTTGACTGAAACTGCCCTACAAGGTACTTTAATTTCAGTTCTAATTGAGTATGAGGGCTTCACAAGCAACTGGTGAGCCACTTCAGAAAAAAATGCATCCCCAAATGAAGGTAACCTGAACATAGATAGTCCTGTTCCCGTTTTCTCTCAACACTGTGCTGTTTCCTACCATTATAGCAGCTTTAGTCAAGATCACAAGTGGAATTTAGGAACTGTTCCTCCCAGTGATGACTGCTTGTAACTAAGCCCTACTGATAGATACTACAGGGCTCAGCTTTCGTAAAGTTACAGGATGAACTCAAAAAGCCTGCCACGTAATCATGTTATCTGAGTAAACTATGTATTTGTTTACTCTATTTTTAAAAAGTGAGAAGAGATCAGGTTTTGTTTTTGCTAATACTTGCTATCAGAAAGACATAAACCCCACCATGCCAGATAAGAACAAAACGGGCAAGGACAACTTCACCGAGAGTCAAGTTGACACTTTGACACTAGAGTCTGTACTGTAAAAAACGATTCAGTAAAAAAAAGTTCTTACATACCGAATTTACCATTACAGAAATTTCTGGAATGCCAAGGGAGACAAAGAACAAAGTCCAAGTAAGCCCAGTTAACAGCTTCAGTACAGCACTGACTGGCACACATATAACATCACTTCAAGGAGGAAGAGATGGTATTTGACAGCCACCTCCTGCCAGAGTCCTCAAGGGGCGTAAAACTCGTTCCAGCTTTGCTACAATGGCTTCAGTTCTACACTTACTTTGCATTTTTTCCATGGGGAAAAAACCCAGAAAGTTTGTGGGGTTTGGTTTGGTGGTGGTGTTGTCTCTGGTTTGTTTTTTTAAAATCAAGTGAGATGATCCTTTACTGATTGGGTAGGAATCTATTTGTGCAGGAAAATAAAAGTTCAAGTTGCTAAAGAGCTTAAAATAAAATCAGAAAATTAAACCTTGACTTCAGAAAAGGTAACAAAAACATATTATCTACTCAAATCTTACTTTTCTGGCAGTGGTTGGTGGTCCAGCAGCGGTAGTTGTACTCATTGTTAATAGATGTCTTCTCGCACAATGGCTTCTCTTCCATTGTTCCTGGACACAAGTCCCCACATTCCTTTGGAGGTTTATTCCCAACAATGTAGTTATTGGACACTGCATCTAGGATGAGAGACCAGTCCACTGTGGAGAGGTAACACAGGTCAGAGTTCTTCTCAATCCGTATGGCCCCGCGTGTTATGTTCCTCAAGTTGTGAAGCCCAATCTCTTTAAGATTTGTCATTTCAAAGATAACCAAGGCATAGTTGTAGAAGAGGTTCCTCCCACGAATGACTGTGAGGTTGGGGAAGAGATCACTGAGGCTTTCCAAGCCTGCCACACGGAACAGCAGCAAATAGTCAGTTATGACAGTGAGCTTTGGGAAGCGGAAGTTGCGGTAATCCTCTGCTTTAGAGATGAGCAGAATTTGAAGGAAACCCTCAATTACCGTACAGTTCTCCAGGCGTTTCAGCTCATGGATATCATTGCGAATGTCAACATTTGGCCCGCAAACTGAAAATGTAAAAGGAGAATGGAAAGTTAGTAAATAAGACATTTTTAAGCCTTTTGAAACTGGCATGCAAGTATGACGATGGCCACAAAATTGTTAACTTCTTAATTAGGTTGTAATGTTAAAATAGGAAATCAGTACTTGACTTACACCTACATTGACTATTCATCTCATTTAACCTATCGCTATGAATACTACCAGGAACCAGCACTGAGATGCAAGCTCTCTATATTCTGAAGCAGACAGAGAAGCGTTTTATTAGTAATGCTGTTAAAATGAGATGCATTAGATAGAGAAACATAAACCCAATGCATTTGCACACCTTGCTCTAAATTACATCATGTCCTAAGTGCCCAGCCCAGAGGTTCAGCCCTTCAAACAGTGTGGTAATATAGAGAGTGATCCACTGGTTATTGTGTTACAAATTTACCCCCAACCCTCTTAGGATACATGCACATAAAGGTGAAGGTTTTCCAGAAAATTACAACTTATTTCTCAAATCAGTCTTTCTTCCCTGGGGTCACAAGCCAAACCACTTCTAATTCTTGAATGCTAGTCTTGCGATAGATCAGCAACAACACAAAATCTGTGGAAAGCTGGTCAGCACTTCCTGCACTGGGACTGCGAAGAAAAAGTGCTTGGACTTGTGTAGCTAATGCACTGAAGTCCTGTTGCATGTTCCAGTGAACCAAGTTTCGCTGATTTTGGCACCAAGATATAAAAAAGTTTCTTGAGTTCTAAGAAACACAGGAAAAATTTATTTACAAGAACACAGAGCATCACAGTGAGGAATTTCCCTTGAAAACAGCAGGCTGAACTCAATGCACTCTCAAGAAAACAATGATCAAAAGAATTATTCCCCAATAAATCTATATATTAGGTCTTTCCATATTAGACATGCATCACAATAAAAATTTTCAAGTGGCTGGAAGAAAAGTGTACTAATAATGCAATAATTCACCACATAAAATGCACTTTCATGTAAAACAAAGAACTATGGAGTGTAGAGAGCTGTTGTTCTTGGAAACCCTCAGAGTTGGTTTTCTGTGGAAAACATGGAAAAAAGACTCCCCAGAACAGACAGTAAGTTGCTTGCAAGCAAACAAAGCAAAATGGCAATTTATTTAAGCAACCCAAAACTTAAATAAACCCCAAGCAATTCAATTTTGTGGAAAGGTTCTCTTTTTATGCACGCTAGGCTTAATTATTTTAACAACATCTTTTCCTCAAACAAGGAAAAGGTCTAAACAAACAGTGGAGCCAAAAAACTTAAATTCTAAACCAGACAAATTGACCAGAGATTCAGAAATTGCGCTGACAATAGAAAGCAGTCCTTCCATCCCACAACACTTATCTAAGGCTAATAACTTAAGCTAACAAATGATCCAGAACATGAGCATGCTAAACCACAGCAACTCTAATATCCAACAAGGACTTAAAGACTTAAAAGTCTTTAAAAAGACTAAAGGACTTTCTTGTTACAGGGGCAACGTAAAAAAACCAACAGGGTGAGATCTTTCTTAAGAAACAGATGTTTTCTACACAAACTATTACCTAATCCTCCTTCTGTAAAGACCAAAGCTGAAAACAGAAGCTATTAGTATGTGCCTTGCTGCACTAGAAGCAGCTATATGCAAGAAAGTTAATTCCCTAAACCTTTTTAAAAACAAGTAACGGGGGGGGGGGGGGGGGGGGGAGAGAGGAAACACACAAAAACAACCTAAACTAATGTACCAACAATAATACTTGGCCATTACAACCAGTGAGACAGGAAATGCCTATTTCAGCATATGCTGACTACAGAACAACTGCATACTACTGCCGGGAACATGTGTCAAGGTTTTAACCGCAGGAAAACATTTTAAAAGGTGAACGGGTTGGCATTATCCAGCTTGAAAAGCCAGATTCGGGAAGAGGAATGTTAAATAACTCCAAGATAGTAAATCTGATAAGAGATATACTGGTCACACACGGGAAGTGTAGGCTTCTCTCCTGAATCTGTAGGAAAGACATCCTCAACCCAGATTAAATTCCTTTAATAAACTGGTACCCACATCTTGCTTTCAACTTCCGAAACTTTCTTCTAAAGCAACCACCCCTCCACCTACCCTCAAGGGACAGTGCCCTCTGCCCAAAGCACAGTCTGACAATAACATGAATATATTTACACTTTGACACTGGGCTTCTCCTTTTTAAAAAAGGCAAGTTAGAACACACAATGCTTTTCCAATTAAACTATTTTGGTTTCTGTCTCTACCTGCTGGCAGGACAAGGTGAACAGCATGGTTCCTGTTATGACAAAGCAAAAGTAGCAAAATTTATTTTACTGCCATAAAATTTTAGAAAGCCTAACTGCTCCAAGCCCTTTATTTTGTTAAAGAAATAAAATTTGCACTTGCGCTGACATTTTGTAGGCAAGGTTCCAGAGTGATGGGTTTAAAAACAGCTGAGTTACAATACCCTAAAGAACAATTTGTAAGAGAAATGGCAGCAACCGTTAACTAAAGCATTATATATCTGTTCATGTGTCTATTCTGAAGCTGGGCTTTAAAAGTCGTATTGCTTTTAGCTTTATGTTTGTTTCAGCTTGAAAGTTACTTAATTTTAGATATTTAATGTTTTTAATAAATCAATGAGATTTCTAGAACTTTATGGCAAAAGTATGCACTCACTTGCTTCAATTATGAAACATCATCCCCTTAACATGGAAAAGGCCAATGGGCTCTAATGTTAGAAACTGATTACAGATGAATGTGCTGTTGACATTTTTGCTTTAAGAACTTATTAGTTCATCTAGTGAGTTATGTTTTGCAGAACTTCATGTGTATAATGAGAACTGCAGAGACCCAAACATGAAATAGGACAAACATCATGGTCCATACTGACATTTGGAAAAAACAGTTCCAATTAAACCCTATGGATTTTATTTTTTGCCGAAGAAAACTTTTGAAGTTCACATTGTTCACGTAAGTTAATTATGCCACAATGCATCGACTTCTTCTCACGTTTTTCTCACTGCCCTGAAAAGGATTATATGAAAAACAAATTAATCAGACCTCAAAGTCAACTACAATTTCCATTTGGCTGTGCTGTGTTTTCTTTGGATCCCATTTTAGAGAAAGCATATATGGACTTACAATTTAAACTGGTCTGCCAGACAGGATGAAGTGCACATAAAATGCTCTTTACAGCATTTATATTCCATTTAACAGTTTTTGGTACTCCATCTTATCAAGCTTTTCTAATATGACTAGTATAACTCTGTTTTGTTTCTGCTTCAATTCAGAATTGGAAATTAACTTATGTATTTTGCTCACTAACAGAAAATAAAAATGCAACATGTGTTTATTACCCTGTCCCAATAGTTCTGGGCCTTGGGTATAAACACCCAGGATAATTACCAATAGTCAGATTCATGTTGTTTTCATTCAGCTGCTTACAGATTTCCGCACCTTTCCTTAAACTGCCAATCATTTCTCAGACTTGTTCTAAACTAAGTACCTAATCCTGAAAGAGAAATTAGTTCTTTAAAGAATTACATATTTATTTGTTTAAAAGATAACTCCTCTATACAATAAAATATGCAAGAAAAGCAATGCATTCTTTACCCAGATGAACACAAATGCCTCTGAAAGTAGCAGTTTAGTCCGAAAGTACTGAGCTTTACCTGCTATCCAACAAGGAGCCCACTTGTGCTCATTTTTTCTGGGAGCATCCCAGGGGCAAGCTCCAGCGCATGTAAATTTTCAAAGGTAACAGAACCCGCTCCACACTACAGTCTGAGGACCTGCAGCCCATTCCTAGTCAGAGGACAGATCCAAGCCTGATCATGTAACTGAGATGGGGTCAATGAACTACTAGGAAAAATGACTGCACGTAACAGGTTCATACGATGAGAGCAATTAAGGCAACCTGCGGCCTATTCGTTCATCTGGCAGAATCTCCTGGCAAGTCTCCTTTCTAAGTGCTGCTCCAAGCTGGGGCACCAAAGCACAGAACAGAGGCTGTGTACAAACACACACACCGCACAGCACACGGGTAGTAAGTTGACACTACTAAGCATGCACAGACTGGGCAGACTAAAGCAAAGCTGTGTGCGACACAAGAGCTCCGAGTACAGTGATTCAGGAGTTTCTTCTTGACCTTAACTACGATCTGCTAATGCTCTTTTTTGTTGTAAGAAATTTTTTGACTTGGGGAAGAGAAGAACCTTGCCACCTTGAGAAACACCTGGTAGTTATTTATCATCATCAAATAATCATTTACTCCATGCAGCAGATCTTTATTCTTTTTATTTATCCACTACTTATTTCAGTTCACTACTCCTGTAAGGAGTTACCTGTTGCCCTTAAGCATTTCAAGGGAACCATTCCTTTTGCAAAATGGCATGCTACAAGAGACAAATCAGCAGAAAGCCTGCTGTTCAATATTCAGCCTATAATACAACTTCTGCTTGCTACAGCATGTCACAGCTGTACATATATTCACAGCAGTTAATTCGTTATCAATATTAAGGTATTAGAGGGCAGGATTGACAGTTAACACATTCATTGTTTTTAGTAAAAGAATTCATTCCCTACAAGGAACCAATTCATAATGGCATACTTCCCGCTTCCAAATTTTGTATTACTCCCAGTCACTCCATTTTAGAAGTTCAAACCAAACACAACTGGCTAGGTTTTTCTCAAAAAAAATACACACCTTCACATTTTAAGCCCTGCCTTTGGCCCTTTACTTTTTCAGGTAACATTAAAACATTTTACTATACTGAAAGGTCTCAGTATCCTCTCAACTAGACAGAAGTCAAAGATGGAGCAACCATCACTATCTGGCTCTCAATACCAAAAATTCTTAGACAAAGCAGCACCAAGGCAGCTCTGAGTCATCAAGTCATCCCAGCACAACCCTTTCGCAAGCCTTTTCAACCTAAGTCTGCTCCAGCTGGGTCAGGCTTTCCCTAGCAACAGAGACTTGCTCAGCCCATGCAGTCATTTACATTTCT